ATAAAGCAAATTGACCAAAAAGTACAAAAAAAAGGCATCCACAAAGACTTGGGGAAAAACCTATAATATTCTTTACTTTAAAAGGGAATTTTACTAATTGGAGCTTGCTTGTGTCTTTGGTGATGACTTTAACTAAAAAGGCATCTTTCAGGGGCTGGCCCGGTGGCCGAGTGGTTGAGTTCGCGCGCTCCGCTGCAGGCGTCCCAGTGTTTCGTTGGTTCGAATCCTGGGCGCGGACATGGCACTGCTCGTCGGACCACGCTGGGGTGGCGAACCACATGCCACAACTAGAAGAACCCACAACGAGAAATATACAACTATGTACTGGGGGGCTTTGGGGAGAAAAAGGAAAAAATAAAATCTTTTAAAAAAAAAGGCATCTTTCAGACATTGATGATTACATATCATAGAGTTGTTAAAATATCCTGCAAGAAAAATTTTCAGTAATAGAGAAGATGGAATGATGCATTTTTTGAGGCTTTGCACGCTCATACATCTACATTTAGCTCTGCCACTGCTGCATCACTACTAGTTCTCAATTAGAAAATTAAGCGATCAGCCCAGGCTCAGTAGCAGAATGACAGCAGAATGTGATTGATATGCAGAGATTCCCTGAACTAAATTTTACCTTTGCACATTCCCTTGAGTGACTGGTTGCCTCCCCATCATGGTAGGATTCTGCTATATTTTGTGCTCAAGTCTGGTCTGAATCTCCAGCCGTTGGTAATGAAACAACAGGCAATCTTGAAGCAAACAGTCCATGTTACAGAGCTCAGCAATTCCTCCAAAGATGATATAGCAGTTAAAAGCTGTTCTTTTAAATTGTGGTTCCTTTTTCAATGACTTTTCCAAGACAAGATCCCAGAAGCGGGTGAAATTTTTAAAAAGTAAGCTGTACGAGGTGATTTCTAAGACCATCTTAGCTCTAAAAGTATTTTTCCTTAAGAAACCCAGCTTGCTCAAGATGTCTGGTAGTTTTAATATTTCTTTTTTGTATAATTGGAGAACTTATTCTACTTCTTCGTAATCTTTTACTTGGGAAACAAAAGATCCTGAATTTATGTTTGCTTTTTAAGATGCAAATTTATACTTCAAATGATAAGAAGTTCTAGCGCAAGACTCTCAGTCCTAGCTCTAAAGAATACCAGGAGGGATGGAGGAGTAAATTGGGTTTGTGGAAGTAGAGGAGTGAGAGAAGCAAAATGAAACAATAGTGAATAAAGGAGAATTAATAAGAAGTAAATTAAGGGAGATACATATGAAAGCGATGGAGAAAAGTAAGGGGGAAAAGAAGTGTCATTTTCTGACACAATACAGGCAAGTATGTCTTCAGGGATGTGAGTAAGTGTGTGGATCCCATGGTTATTTCCTGCCTCTGAGCCCTCAGGGCTTATCCTGTAAATATAACCTGATGAGCTCTGAGAATGCTAGGTGATCACAGGTCACTGTTGCCCCATGATTGTATGTCCTGGTTACCTGGGCAGCCTGTGTTTATGTATGCTGTCCCAACATAATTATTAATAACATATCCTGTCACTCTTAAAAGTGTCTTGATAATAAATTATATTAGTCTGTACATGCTTCGTTACTTTTTACGTTGTTTAGTGTATCTGTACATGTGTGTGAGGAAACAAGTAGAAGATATGTTAATCTCTGAAAATATTGTTTTATCTTACTACTTGATCTCATTGTGTTTCTCACATCTTTGTCACTCCTATGTACCCTCAAGAAGGAAGGACCCAGATAGAAAAGGGGCTGGAGCCCATAAAGCTGATATAGCCTTGTCTTTCTTTGGCTTTTAACCATCGACCTTGTCTCTGGAGCTGACCCTGTCTAAGTGTGTTTTAGTAAGTGAGCAACCATCAGTGAGCTTTGATCTACTCTCTAAATTTTCCCCAATACAGACACACCTTATCCTTCCCTTCCACAAATGTCTATCTAATTTAATTTAACAAATATTTATTGAACGTCTATTATGTTGCAGGTGCCACAATGAGATTTAATACTGCAGAAGGAACATTTTTCTTTTAAGAGAAACTAACACAATCCAAACAAATTCAAGCAAGTTACATACATAGTAGATGGTGGTAGACCTGGAAGGTAATAATTTAGATCCTCTGCTCCCTGAGAAGAGTCACAGAAGACTGAGTACAAGAGGTATGCAGAAGGTCATGTTCAGGCAGCTGGGTCAGTGGTTAGAGAAATCAGGGGCATATTTGCAATGGATGAGCTCTGTTAGAATGAGTATACACAAGAGAGGTAGCAGTAGAGGGTGTGAAGGCAGATACAAAACTTGAGTTTACAAATCAGGACTTGGAGATGTTTTTCCCAAAGGTGCTATCTTCAAAGATAAAGAATGCAGACATCGTGACTCCTACCATGTCCCCATTGGACCTTAGCTATTTGTCTTGAGCAAAACCCAGACAGATCTCAGAGACTTACAGTGGATTGTTTTAAATGTAACTAAGCTGTGACTCCAATTCCAGCTGTTGTTCCAGATGTGATTTCTTTACTGGAGCAAAGGAACATATCCTCTGATATCTGGCTGCTAATTACCGATTTGTTGGATTTTTTTTATATGTTAGTAAAAGACCACAAAAAGCATATTGCTTTTAGTTTACAAAGCCTGAAATATACTTTTACTGTTCAGTCTTAGGGCTATATCAACACTCCATCCCTCTGTTATAATCTCATCCACAGGAGCATTGATCACCTCTCCGTTCAATAAGACTTCATATCAGACCCTCCATTGATATCAGGCTCATAGGAATCAGGAACAGGAAGCAGCAACTGTCTTGAATATTTTGGAAAGAAAGAAACATGTATGCCAGAAGCTGAGAAATAAATTTCACTAAAATTCAACGGCCTAGAAGCTTGGTGAAATATCTAGGGCACATTATAATATCCTTTGCAAGATGAAGGAAAAGTTACTATATCTGACCCTTCAAATTACGAGAAAGAAATGTAATGCCTGGTGAGCCTCTTTGGATTTTGAAAGCCACATATACCCATTTTTGGAAGAATATGAAAGAATGCCAGTTTTGAATGTGACTTAAAGCAAGAGAGGGCTTTGACACAGGTCCAACTTGCCATGCAAGCTGCTCTATCACTTGGCCTGTGTCGCCCAGCTGACTCAATGGTTCTTGAGTGTCCGTGGCTGACAGGTATGCTTATGGAGCTCTTGTTAAACCCTTTAGCTGAATCACTGTACAGACTTAAGATTTTAGGACAAAACCATGTCATCTTCAGAAATAACTACTGCCTTTTTGAGAAACAGCTTCTGGCTTATCACCACGATCTAGTAGAGAAGGAACATTTGTCCATGGGTCCTTAAGTTTCCCTGTAACCTAGACATCCATAATGAACTGGGTATTAGGTAACCCACCAAGTATAGAGTTGAGTGTGCCCAGCAGTGTTCTATCATCAAGTTGAAGTGGTATATGTGAAACGGGGCTTGAGCAGTCACTGACGGCACAAATATGTTACATGAGAAAGTGATTCAAATTCCCCTGGCTCCTATTCTTGCTTCATTCCTTTATGTCTTTCAACAATGACCAATGGCCTCATGGATATCTCCCAGGGATGAATTAACTGGAAGGAAGATATTGGGTCTTGATTTACAGATGATTCTTCATGATTTGCTGAAAATATCCAAAAGTAGGTGTCTGAAGCAATATGGACACATGAATGTTTCCAATTGGAATATTTTTAGCATTGAACATGGTTTCTCACTTTACTTGTAAGGGCAGATGTCCAGAAACGCAGATCTACATTAATTCATGGGCAGTAGTTAACAATTTGGCTGAATGGTAAACAAGATTAGGAAAGAATATGATTGGAAAATAGGTAACAAGGAGGTCTAGGGAAAAAGTATATGAATAGATCATATGGACACACAGTGTGAAGATATTTATGCCCATTGTAAATGCTCATAAATAGAAACACCAACAGAACATATATGGACATCTTGCACAAGATGACTCATTTTGTGAATGTCAGTCAGCCTCTTTCCCCCGTCACCTCTATTCTTGCACGCTAAGCTTGTGAAAAAAGTGGCCATGGAAGCAGGAATGGAGATTATGCATAAACTCAGCAACATAAACATTTATTCAACAATGCTGTTCTGGTTACAGGTATTGATGAGTTCCCAGCTGCCAACAGCGAAGATCAACCCCGAGCCCACAGTCTGGCACATGGAGTAAGAGCCAGCCATCTGTTTGCAGGTCGGTTATTTTGGATGATTTCCATCATGGAAGGGGCAGCATTCATTCTCGCTAGAATAGAACCTTACTCTGGGTATGGATTTGCCTTTCTTGTTCAAAGTACTGATTCTAAAGCAACTATTTGTGGACTTCCAGAATACCTTATTCACAGTCATGATATTTCACATAGATTGACTCTGACCAGCCACAATACTAAAGAGCTGCAATGGGTTTATGTTGATGGAATGCATCGATTTTACCATGTCTTCCATCACCAGATCAGTTGAAAAGTTAAAATTATGAAACGACCTTTTAAAGACTCAGTTGCAGTGCCAGCTGTTCTGGGTAATGTCCTCAAGGCTGCAGTGGATGTTCTGAATCAGCAACCTATTTATGGTGCTGTTTCTACCATAGCCAGTAGGCATAAGTCTGGGAATCAAGAAATGGAATGTGAGTGATTCCTCTCACTGTTACCCTTAATTATTCACTAGCAAAATGTTTGCCTCCTGTTCCCACAATTTTGGGCTCTGCTGGTTTAGAGGTCTTAGTTTTCAAGGAAGAAATGCTTTCACCAGAGGGCATATACTGTTTCCATTAAACGAAGCTGAATCTGCCACCTGGATATTTTGGGCTCCTCATACCACTAAATCCTGAAGCATGAGGCAAGACAATCGATCCAGTTAAGGGGGAATTCCATTGCTATTACACAATAGACATAGGGAGGAGTATGTTTGCAACAGGAAAATATTTCTAGTATACCTCTTATTACTACCATGTTGTGTGATAAAACTTCATCATAAACTGCAACCCAATGCAGGCAGAGCTGCAAACGGCCAGATATTTCAACAATGAAGATTTAGACAATCTCACTCAGCAAAGAAAACTTGACTAGCTAAGTTACTTTCCGAAGGCAAAGAGAGTAAGGAATGAGGACTGGAAGAAGAATATCATCAATACCAAATATGACCACGTGGTCAATGGCAGCAGTGACGACTATTTAAGGTAGGTTAGCAATTAATATTGATCTCAATATTTAATTTACAAATTGTCAAATCTGTTGTGTGACTCAGCTAGAAGAGAAACGAGCATCACCCAAAGATGGGTAAATTGACTTTGTCTGTCCTCTTTTGGGTAGAAGGTAAATGTGTTTTGGTTATACTAGGATGACAACATGTTATATGGATTTTGTCAATTCTCTTTATTTGTAAGTAAAATATGAATAAAAGAGATGTGTGTGGGTGTCAGGCTGACAGGAGATGAACTCTGCCAGATTGTGGTATGTTGACGTGGTTTGCCTGTGAGCTACATTTTCCAGAATCCTTTTCCCTGCATGGTTCTAGGTTAGAAGTGAAAAGAGAATGCTACACAAGATTTGGAAGCAGCCATTACTCAACTGAGGTTATTTCATTGAGACACAGTGTTGAGCAGGTGGGAGGTAGACAGCAGACCCAAGCTTGTCTTCAGTGTTCTCTGTTTCATGTCTAGATCATCTTCCTATCTGTGAGTTTCACTGTGTAATGGCAGCCCTAGGCCCACCACTAGATACCTGGCTGCAGAAACATGCAGGTGGAGCTATTCAGTGACAAAAGCTTTGCATAGACCACTCCATTAATCCCCTTTCATGATCCCTTTTGGTGACCAGATATGCTTCACTCCTCTGCTGTCTCTGCAAGCTCCATCTTACTTCACAGATGCACACATTTATGACCAGATCCCTGAACTCTGAGGTACTTCAAATGAACAGACTTGTTCTAGGGTGTGCCTAGAGATAAGTCCCACAGCCTTGGCCCCTGGTAATTCTTCTCTACTTCTTGTCATTGCTCTGCCTTCCATACTTAGGCATGGTAACCACATAGCCAAGAAGCCTGAAATTGTTGCTGACTTCAAGGTTCTGATTTAGGTGGGTGAATTGAGGGTAGCTAAATACCTCTAAAAATCCTCCTCTCCTCTTGTTTCAAAGTCCATACTTCTCTTTGGCTACCTGCCAAAGCTGTTTCCAGCCTGAGACTCACTCCCAGATCCCAGATCACCTCCGTGATCAGGTTGAAATAATTTAACCAATGTCACCTCCTTCCCCAAGATGCTCTCTGAAGATTCCTCACTCTATTCTCTAGGTTGAGATAAATGCTTTACAGAGATTCTAAAGAAAATGATCGTAGTTCCTGATACTTAAACATTAAGCATCAAATCGTTTCTACTAGAATAAGACAGGGCTCATTCTGTCAAAGTTTTCCTTTTCTTTTTTGAAAGCATCAAAAATATTTCATACTTTATATAAGCATAAACAAGCCATGTATATTGCAATTATAGGTAACCAGAGTTTCTCAGATCCGACCAGGATGTAGGTACAATTGAGGTAAAATGAATAACAGAAATGATAAAAATTGCCCTGTCTTCAAGCCCCTCTAGATTAATTGCTGGAACCTTAAGCCTACGCTTCCTGAAAGAATCCCAAGGTGGCTAGTCCCCTTGTACCAGGTTTCTGATATTTTCTTCTATGTTGCTGCTTGAGTTTTTCATGGCGCTTCTCCAGGCATTTTGTTGATTGGCCTTTCACAATCATGGCTGCTCCTCCTGTCACACTGCCTTCTGATTTCACCCTTCTCTTCACTGCTGCTGTTAGCCTCATCACAGATGGCCTGGTCCAGCCTCCAGTGATGGCATCACTGAAATAGCAGAAGGGCCCTCTCTCCATCATTATCACAATGTTTTCTCAGGGCCTAAACAGAGATGCTTTTCACTCTATTTCTTATAGATCTGCAAGTTGTTGCTTAGCTCTATCAGTTGACTAATTTTAATTCTATTGCATAGAGTCTTTCTTAGAACCTTGTTCCAAAACCCCCAGAGGCTAATTTGGAAAACAATTTCCTTGGTGATAATCTCCTCTCTGTCCCCATTTCTTCCCCCTGATATCCAATTAGTATCTCTGAATAGAATCAGTTCACTCTAACGGTGTCCTCAGAGTGAATTTTTTCTCCATTCAGTTTGTTGTTTCAGAAGTGCAAAGATACCCTTAATTGACTCCATATTCCCTTTGGTCTACCTTTATTTGTTATCCTCAAAAAAAAATGCTCTTCAATTCTTCAAAGATTTATTCTCATTTTCCCTCGCATGCCTGACATATCTTGAAATACCAAAGTGCTAATAACCCATCCAGATTAAGATTCTCTTCTGGTGTCCTAAATATGTATGTTCATCAGACTATTAGTTCTAACTTTACCGACATATTACCATTGGCTGCTTGGAGCACCCAGGTACTGTGTTTCCAGTTACGTTACAATGTACTTGATGACACAGAGAGCGGAAAAGGCTGTACGAAATGTACATGGCTTCATGAAATGTATAATTAGACCATAAAGTCATTTTATAATTTTATATATTGACAATGTCAATCCTTTCATTTCATTTTTCCTAGTTAATGGGACAGAAGATATCAAAGCAGATATTTTACTTGTATATGTAAAATATTCCTATAATATAGTAATATACACCACTATAAAATAAGTGGTACCCTATGACATGTTGGAAAAATAACTTTTATTCCCTCTGCCTTATTCTGACAATTTGGAACACTGACATCCAAGTTTTCCTCCAAGGACTGAAAAAAAAACTTGGAACCCAGCTTTAAAAACAGGGCTTTCTTCTTTCTGAGGCCTACGAAAAACTGCCTTCTTTCAAGTCTCATCAAAATAATTTATCTGTTACTATTAAAATTCTTCTCCATTCGTTGCTTTTAGAAAGCACAGGGTCATAAGACCTAAAATGCCCCAGTTCTCCTCTCATTCTTTAAATGCTAGAGAACTGTGGGTATGGCTAGATAAAAAGTGGCATTATCTTAAAACTTTCAGTAAATAATGGATCTTAAATGAAGAGTCCAGACAGAGTCCCAGTGGCTTAGAAGAGCCGGCCTGCGATGGGAAGCTGCTTTGGCACAGTGGGTGGGTGAGAGCTTGAAGGTTTGTGTCTCCTTTGTATAGTCCAGGTGTTCTCTGAGTGGAAGAAGGACCTTTTTGTCCATATTTCTTTCAGTGCTTTCTTCCCCCCTCCAGTTGAACCATGGGTCTGACCCTCCAAATTGAGAAAGAAAACCGCTTTTCTATGGGATCATAGAATTTTCTGCACAATAGGAATACACTAGCTGAAGAGGTCAATCCAAAACCGAAAAACTAAATGAAGGGGCTCAGAAATATAAACTAGAAGTTGTGATGCCTTTGTCACCTGCTGCCGCTCTCCCATCTAATAATGGAGTAATTGCTAATTCATGACGATAAGCCAAAAGGAGGATGATTATGCATGTGGCTGTACAATGCTAAGAAGTGGCACTTTGTTCCTGTGCTGCCACCCAACAAAGGCAGCAGTGAGAAGCAGGGTCTGGTTTCCCTGGTAGCCGTGGTGCTGAAGCTGGCCACGCTGGCATCACTCCGACTGGGTTGTCTTTGTCCGCACAGACTGCCAGTGCCCTCCCCGTTGAAAGGATGAATATGTGGGCCTTTACACAACATCGTGGCTTAAATTAGTCGGATACATGGGGCCTCTTGCAGCACCTGCTCCTGTTCTCAAATTCCAGCTCTGTTGGGAATTATTATCTAGCTCCCTTCTTCTCTCCCCCTCTCCCTTTGTAATTATGTTTAATCCCGCAGCACCTGCTTTGGCTTTGGGGGACTACTGATAAAAAGAGATGAAAAGACCTTTTTTCCATTTGTATCCAAATCTACCAAATAAACACAACAGGCCCTGGCTAATTAAATATGTCTAAAGGGAAGGTGTGGGAAACCCCCATGAATAAGACTCTGAGTGCACGCGCTCCTCGAATTCTGCGGGGTCATCTTCACCTGGCTCCAAATTCAGAAAAATATCTAAATCATATTTAAAATTTTCCATCCCTGAAGCTTCTGATAGCAGTTGCACTTAGATCTCCTGTGATATTTGGATTTTCACTTTTATTAGGAAAACATTGAATTCCTCACTTTCTTGACTGGGGGATAAGACAAGTCACTGACAGACCAGATCATTTGTTATTGAAATATACTTGAAAGTTTCATATCTCAAAATAGGAGCGTTTTCCCTTTAACATGTTTCCCATGTCTCCTTATTTTAAACCTCTCAGATTTAAAGTTAATTTTATAAGAATTATTTAAAAATAAACTTTAAAGTATAAATTAATTTTACATTGAAGAAGTAGCATAAATTTTAGTCTATTATCCTCTGAAACATTCGTATTTGAAATGAAACATTTTAGGAAACTGAATAGTTTGTTCTGAATTTTCATCAGCGTGCTAAACCGAAGCAGATAATGTTTTCATTTAATTAAAGGATTGAAATGAAAGGATCGTGGGACATAGGTGCTTCGGTGAAATTTAACTCAAAGATTTCAGAGAAGAGAAGTTTTGAGACTGGTTGTAGAATGTGAAAGATTGTAAATAATTTAAAATAATATTTTAATATACAAAATACTTAGCAAACAATAGAAATTTCTTGTCCCTCTCTACCCTGAGGTTTAATTTATCAATATAACTCTGACAGAAATCTGAAGCAAGAAACATTAAGTTCCATGGGACATGGTTCTCACTAAACATTAAAATATGGTTTTAATATTAAATAATTTTGCATTAAAACTCTTCCTGGTCCCTGGCAGAAGCAAGCTTTCTCTAGTCTCCGTTTGCGGGTAGACAAGGGTAGAGTAGACCATCAGTTTGGATCGTCCTCTTGTGTGGATGAAAGGACATCTTTTTTCTTGTTTAGGATCAAAAGTAAAGGAAGAACAATCTAAACATATAAACAAATTTACAGCCAAAATACCAAATCATAGGGGCTTAAAAAAATCCTGCTTAAAAATCAAACAAACATGCTATTGAAGTCCCCTGGTATATAACCAATAATTGTCATGCAATTTTTCAAGTTGAAAAGCCATGCAAACATATGCATTTAGGCATTTGAGCTTTCTCTTTCATTATATTTGACTAAAATCTTAAAAGTCTACATAGAGCTACATAAATTACATC